AGTTTGCTGGTTCTTTTTATAAATTATAAACTTGAAATATTTGGTGATTTTGTTTGTTCTTTAGTTAAATTAACAGAGAAGATTTTACTTCTGAGATTTAACCAACTAGAGTGCAATCAAATTTTGGTTGTACCTTTGACTGTAGATGGTTAGTGATTATATTTGTTTTCTTGTTTAATTTATCAGACTAGATTTTTCATTAAAATACTGAATAGAAGCCAAGTGAACGGACATCTGTCATTGGTCTTTTGATTGACCAAAGTTATTCATCTTTTCTTAAAATTTATTTTTATTTATGTATACGTATGTCTGTATATACATATGTGCACATGTGTGCAAATTCTCAGAAGAGGAACTCAGATCCCCTTGAGCTGGAATTACAGACAATCACAAGCCACCATGTGGGTGCCAGGAACTGAACTGGAGTCCTTCAGGAACAGCAGCCAGTGCCCTTACCCACTGAGTCATGTCTTCAGCCCATATTCATCTTTTCTTTTTTCATTCTACAAATATGTATTAGGTAGTTAACATGGTAGATATTAATTTTAGCCCTGGGGATCCAGTAGTGAATTAAGACCCGAAGGTGTTTGTTCTTACAGGGATGGGGAAGCAATCCTGTGCAGAACGAATTGCTATGCACTGAATACAAACAGTTACAGAATCAATGAAGAACATAAGCAGAAAAGAATGACAGGCTCTTGCGGTTAGAGGTAAGGCCAAGTCATCCCCAGGGCAGAGTAGGCATAATCTGAAGAAATTACAGCACGTGTCTTAACTTACATTCTAGACATAGTTGGAACAGTAACTAATTATTAGAAACAATAGAGATCATATCTTTTCCACTAGGAGGACTATATATAAATTTTCTAAAAATATTTTATTTGTGTATGTATGTGTGTGTGTGCACGTGTGTGTGTGTGTGTGCATGTGTGTGAGTGTGTGTATGCATGTGTGTGAGTGTGTGTTACATGCCATAACAAATGAAGAGAAGTCAGAAGACAGCCTATAGGAGTCAGTTTTTTCTGTCTACCAAGAGCTTCCTAGTGACCAAGTCCAGATCGTCAGGTTTGGTGCAAGAGCCTTAAGCCACCACACCATTCCGCAGAACCCCAGATAATGTTTTAATAGCTGAAAGTGGTAATTATAAGCTTATTCTTAACATTACTGCATTATAATTATGAAAACATTAAGTTATTGTTACTAGTGTTATTGTTGTAGGCAGTTAAATTTGTAGAATTAACTTCCAGTTTGTTTATCTGTTTTAGAGAAAAAAATGATACTAGGGAGGGATGTTGTCTTTAAAGTTTCTTTGTTTCAAAGTAAATGGCTGTAGTCTAATTGCACCTTGATAAGCCGTGTTTGGTTGATACCGCAGGGAGGCCTGCCATTTTCTGAAGTGAAACAGAGGAGAGATAGATCTAGGGGAGAGAGGAGGTGGGAGGGAGAGGCAGGGAGGAGAGGGAGGGGAAACTGTGGTTGGGATGTAATATATGAAAGAAGAATTAAAAAGTGTAAATGGTCTGGACATGGTGGCATACAGACTCAATCCCAGCACTCAGAAGACGGGGCGAATAGTTCTCAATGAGCTAAAGGCTGGCCTGATTTGCATAGTAAATTGCAGGCCAATCAGAACATAGGAAGACTCTGTCAAAAAAAGAAAGAAAGGGAAGGAAGGAAGGGAGGAAGGGAGGAAGGAAGAAATAAAAAAGGAGTGCTTTCATGAAAATTGTTTTGCCAGACTTTGTCATTTGCCTTTTCTCTTACGTCAGTAGTAGACCTTCAAGGAAACCCCTAGTTATAGACTAAATGTTTTTGAGGTGGCTTGTGTCTTCTTAGAGACCAAGTGAAAGCCACAGCGTTGAAATGGGAGCGTAACTGCCTCGCCAGGGTCCGTCTTTCACACTCTCCTTCCCAGGATGGAAATCTCCCAGGACGAGCCTATTCTCAGGTGAGGCTTGGGGACAGCTGTAATGAAGCCCCAGCTGTATGGCTAGCCAGTCATGTTCACTTGGGTGACCTTTAAAGCCACGTGGGTGGAAGAGTGTCACAGGATGCTTAGGGTGTGTTTCTCATGCAGTTGAAAAGAGCACGTCATTAGAGTTAGAGGAAGGAGATGAAAATGAAGACCAATGCTGGCTATGAGCGTCACATACATACCAGGTCCCTGAGCTGTTTGTGTGTATATGTATGTGTGTGCGTGTGTGTGCATATGCATGCACATGTGTGTGCATGTGTATCTGTGTGTGTCCATGTATGTATGTGTGTGCATGTGTATCTGTGCATGTGTGTATCTGTAAGTATGTGTGTGTCCATGTATATATATGTGTGTATGTGTGTCTTTGTGTCTGTGTATGTATGTATATGTGTATCCACACACACATGCATGTGTATGCATGTGTGTATCTGTAAGTAGGTATGTGTTTATGTATGTGCGTATGTATGTGCATATGTGTGTGTGCATGTATGTGTGTATGCATGTGTGTATCTGTAAGTATGTGAGTGAAATTACAGATATGTAACCCAGCTTCATGTGGATTCACAGTGTTTGAACTTGTGCTTTCACCAAGTGTGACAAGTGCTTCACCTACTGAGCCATGTTTCCAGTCCTTTAACCACTTTAACACATGATATGCTGACACCATCATCTGTTTCATGTGGCTGAACCAGTCCCGGGCTCTCTGGAATTTTCCTGACACCCTTCCCACATGCCTTCTTTCATCTTGAAGGTCATTAGAGGCTGGTAGCTTGAGGAGGACCACACACTCTGGTGTTTAGGATCATGTTTAGACTTTATTCTAAGAACCAGGCTGTGCACATGGGAGACTGTCCTAGCTCGGCTTTCTAAGCTAAGCTGTTGGGAACTGAGCAGATGTGCGGGGGAAGCTCAGAACGAGCAGGAAGGCTCTAGAATGGCAAGGTGAGGAGAAGCAGGGCGGGATGCTCGCCCAGGACTTGGCCTCTGGGTCCCTTCCTGATAGGCAGCAGAAGTCCCACACTCATCCTGGGGGCTGTGCACCCTGCAGGGTAAAGGACACTCTATTTCAGTGTTATAGTGTCCTCCTGGGATGACACACACATTCCCACAACCCTGCTCTGCCATGTGCTATATGCTAGTGGTTCAGGCCCTTGGTCAGCGCCCCAGCTCCCCTCTCTCCTAGGGGTTCCCTGCACAACTTGAGACAGAAAATCCAAGTACTTCCAGGGAATCTGCATACTCAGGTATGAAACGTTCATCAGGGCCAGTGTTCTTGCAAAGAGGCTATACTGGGTTTCCCTTTTAGCACAAAAACTCAATTTATTTTTATGCCCAAGAATAAAATTCCTGTAAAGCTATCATCCATTTGTGCATAGCATTGAGCACAAAACAGTGGCCTTCCTCTTAGGAGCATCCATTTTAGTTCAAGGCGATCAGGGAAGCAGCCTCTGGGACCCACACAGGGATCTCTGTAGCTCTATCTCTCTCTGAAAAGTGCTTGGATCAACTCTGTGATTCCTGCTCCCTGGCTGTGAGCTGCTGAGCCCCACATATGATGCTCATTCACTGGAGAGACACAGGGATGGCTGGCTAAGACTTACAGGGACTGGATGGACAGTTCTAGAAGTACTCCTTGCAGTTAGAGACCAGCAGTGGGTCCCAAAGGCTGAGGCACATGAGAGACAGGCCCATGCACCTTTCTACCAGGCTATGCAGAGATGTAGCCTGGGCACTTGGGTTGCTGTACATTATGGCTCTCTGCTGGCTCGATTTAACTGTCAACTCAACACAGCTTAGAATTGCTTAGGAAGAGAGTCTTAGTGAGGACTTATCCAGATCAGGCTGGCCTGTGGCAAGTCTGTAGGGGACTGTCTTGTTTGTTCCTTGAGACAAGACTCATTCACCCTGAATATGGGTGGTACCAGAGTTGGGCCCTGAACTGAGGAGGAGTGAAGAAAGGTCTTTGCAATATTCTGGGTATCCTGGAATCCTGGGGCTTGCTATGTAGACCAGGATGGCCTTGAACACATTAAGATCTTTCTGCCTCTGCCTCCATCTCTGCCTCCACCTCCGCCTCTGCCTCTTCCTCTGAGTGTTGGGATTAATGGTGTGTGTCATCATCCCCCAGCTCCTCTGCTCTTCATCGTGGATGTGGTGTGACAAGCTGCTCCAGGTTCTTGTTTTGACCTCCCTTAGCAATGGAGGTGACCTGGAAGCTGAGCAAGCCCTTTTCTCCCCTAAGCTGCTTTTTTATCAGTTGTTTTTATCACAGCAGGATGGAAACTAGAACAAACCCCACAGGGTAATTGAATGCTATTGCTCTGCAGAACTCTGCAAAGCTTTCCCTAAGAACAGCCTCACACAAAACCTTCCCAGACAGCACAGCCATTCTCAGCCTGGAGGCTGTTACCAGGGTGTCTCGGAATGCAGAGCATCAGGGGTGGACCCCTGGAATTTAGTAGGCTGTGCCCTAAGCTCTGCATTCCCAACAGTTCTAAGGAATATTGATATATACTACACGCAGCCATCCACACTGTCTACCTTCAAATCTCATGGCTTCCATGAATGTTGTCAGGAAATGACCTTTCTACATGTCATTCTGTCTCCCAGCTGGCCTCATTCCTCTCAGTGTAGGATGAAGTGATAGTTTTTCTCCAGGTAGTAGGAAGAACTTCATTCTTTAGGCAGACAGAGGTCAAGTATAGTCAGGTTTAGGATCCTCACAAAAATCATCTAGAGCTCAAGGAATGGTTTCATGCTTAAGATTGTTTACTGCTCTTTCAAAAGACCTGAGCTATGTTCCTAGCACCTATGTAAGGCTGCTCTTGTAACACTAAATTCAGGGGATCCCATGTTCTCTTCTGAGTATTGACAGTAACTGCACTCAGGCGCACACACCCATACATAGACACACATGAATTAAGAATAAAAATAAATCTGTTAAAAAATTGGCTCTTTTCCCTCGTTCACATTTGCAGAGAAAATTTTGTTTCAGCCACGTTAAAGAAAAACTTCAGTCTTGATATTTAGGAAAAAAAAAAGAGTTCATTCCTTCATCCTTCCAAACAAGGTACAATACAACTGAGTAACAATACACATTCTGAAAAACACAGCAGTATCTTATATTTCTCCCTACTCTTTAAGTATAATTCAGATATTAAGGAAAAAAAGCTTCTAATCACATTAATACATTACAGAAAACCAAAATTAACTTACCACATAAAATAAATTAAAACATTACATATTAACCTTCAGTGCATCATATACAGAAGTCAGAAAGATGAGTTCTAAGAACAGCATCGAGTTTTTTATAATAAACTTATTCCACTGTGGAGAGGAGCTGCTTTCCAGTTCTCTCTGTGTGTGTACATGTGCACATGTGTGCATACAACACTGTGTCTTTGAGATAGATCAATGGCTTCAGGGAATACATCTTATACCAGAACATTAAAAAACAAACACAAGCCAGGTATGGCAACACACACCTGTAACCCAGTAGGCTGAGGCAGGGGAATCATAGGTTCAAGGCTGGCCTGGGCTATAGAGTGAAACCCTGTGTGAAAAATGTGTCATCTAGTCTGGCCCCCTGTGGCCTTGGGAGAGAGACAAGGCTATTACTCACGACAGGACTGGGCCTGTAGCAGTGTCAGAGTGTTGCTGGTCCATCCAGTGGCTCATAGGCACGAGGGAACCTGGCCTGGGGACTTGCAGGGGGCAACACCACCATCTAAGACTCAGGGACACAGTCACTTTCCTTACCAGTGTGGGTAGGTGGGTACCGACATGTCTCCTTCCCCCACCCTCCCTTTTTTGGAGGAGAAAAGGGATGTTGGGACTATTGTTTCCACCTTTCTCTGGGGCACATGACAAACCAACTCATGGTGTGGTTCTGTGTGTGTTCACCTGGAATCTATCTTTCGGACTGGGTCCCATTGTACTTTTCCATGCATCCCATGGTGTGTTTAAAGTTACAGCTAGAAGTGTGAAGCCTTTCTAGAATCCATTTTTATTTTTAAAAATTAGATTTTATGCATGTATGTGTGTATACAAGCCCCTGCGTTTGTGTTGTGTATCCGTGGAAATCAGAAGACATCCTGGGCAAGTTGGCTCTCTTCTTCCAGCAGATGGGTCCCTGGGGATTGAACTCAGGTTCTCAGGGTTGTTGGTAAGTGCCATTTCTATCTGAGCTGTCTTGGTGTCCCTAGACTTAATTTCAGTTCATTTATTGGGAATGTTCACAGTCCCCTGAGTCACTGGGTCAGCTGTACTGCCCACTGACCTGTGTACCTGCTGAAGAGTCGATTCGGTAGCTGTACTGATATCAAGAGAGGGCCAGTATGACCTGACAGGAGGGTGCTGGTACAGTTAACCAGGCCTATCTGTGCTGTGAGATGGCACAGGAAGGAACACAGCATTTGTATGACTTCCAAAATCAAAGTCAACAAAGAAGCAGGTCTGTCATATGTTGGGGCAGGGATGATGTCCAACCAGACTTGCCTCAACCTAGTCTCAGCTTCTGACTCTTCAAAGGGCAGACTGATGGGACGGCACTTCTAGGTGACATTTGAGCCGGCTGCATCTGTGTACAGGCACTAGGATGGTACTAGCTGCTGTGACTGGCAGGACCTGAGAACTGGGATGTTCAGACACTAAAGCTGAGGTCCTTCCAAGATCCTCTGCCTTCACCATCGTGTGCTCGTGCTAACTTTCTCCACCTCTGCTGAGCCTTGCATGGTAACATCTTCAGGATGGGACACTAGTGAGGGAGTTCCCATTGATATTTAGATTTCAGTTCAAACTCCTTAAAAGATGTCAGACATCCAGGAGCCTCCAACAGACCAGAAAAGACCTGTCATTGGAAGCTAACAGTGTGAACTAAATTAAAACAAACCCTGCAACTCCATTGTGTTGACCCCCATGGGCCAGTACATTAGGTGGGGTCTACTGAGAGCATTGGGGCCCAATAGAGGGGCTAAAGTCCAGTGAGGTTGATTGGTGTCTGAGCAGCAGGCTACCCTTGGCCTTGACCCATTTGTATGACCCAAGGAAAGCAAACTTAACCTATTTTCTTTAATAATCAAAAAGACTCTGTTGGGCGTGGTGGTGCACACCTGTAAGCCCAGCAGCTCTCAGGATGGTGAGGCAGGAGGATCTTAACTTCAAGGCCAACCTGGGCTATACAGCAAGACCTGACTTTTCAAGACTCTGCAAGAAGAGTGAGGAACAGGCAGAACTTTCTGATAGAAGTTTCAGACCAACTTGGTATGTCAAATACCCCTTTCCTGATGTCTTACGCTAGAGGCTCTGGAGCAGGGAGGGGGCGGACTTTTCACTCCTCAGTTGGAGAATGGCCTCCTCAATAAGTAGCTGAATGGATTTACTGTCACTCTGTCCCCTGACGGTCCCGAGCAGCCCAGGAACAAGGGTGGGCTCAATGGATGCTCAGGGAACACGTCTCCTTCCCCAGAGGGGGCTGGAGAGGCTTGGAATCAATTTTGTTAATAATGCCAACATTCTGAAAGGGGAAACAAAACAAAACAAAACAAAACAAAACAAAACAAAACTGTGGGCTATTTTTCTTAATGCTTGAAAATAAATAGGAAAGGTAAATGTTTCCTTCTAAAAATAAGCAAAAACCAATAAAGGGCTGGTCCCCTTCACGGATTTGGCCCACGGCTCACTGCTAATGCGGGAGCTGGGCTCACGAGGATGTTAATCCACTTAATCAAGTGTTGGAATGTGCGTCCTCCCTAGGTGCCCACACAGGCTCTCTTGTCCTTTTGTCCCCACAAGGGGGACTGTTTCTGCCATTGGCCTTGCTAACTTTGCTACAGCATGTATCCAGGGACTTTCCTGTCTTAGTGGGCACAACCTCTCGATAGCAGTTTGGTTCCCAGCAGAATGGACGTTTGAATTCTGTCTCTATGGCCCCTGGAGACTGTCCTCCCTGCAGCCTTACTTTATCAAAGCGGCTGGCCATTTCTATTTGGTGTAACTTCATGGTCAGCCACTCATGTATCACTAACATGGAAGCCCAACATTGACATAAAGAGATTACAAATAAAACCGTGTTATCCACTTAATAAATAAGACACACATTCTGACAACAGCTTGAGGAGTTGTCAGGGCTCATGGGAGACCAGAGTGTCGTCAAAGAATAATAGACGTTTCCCCTTGTCCATTCTGTACACCAACCATGGCGTCTCTGTGATGGGTAGATGGCCCATGGAGAAGAAAGAGTCTGGAATTCATGGCAGGCAGGAGACACCAACCCAAGCTCACTCTTGGTGTGGGCTAGCAGGAGGGCCAGCCCTTTGAGGTTCTTGTTCAACTTGTCTTTAAAATGTAGTCTACTGGCCTCTTCTCTACGGTATACTGAGAGAGCACAGCAGGCAGCTTTACCACACAGTTTTGAAGACTCTCAAAGGACAGAAGGCTGCCGAGGCGGTTGTGTACTGAGGGGGAAGGTCTCCCAGCATGTCCCAGGGGCCTGGGCACTGCTGGTGGTCTTGTCCCGAGACCCCTTTCCTTGGTTGGGCTGTCATAGGCCTCCTAGCCAAATTCCTCCTCTGGGATCTTCAGACCACTGGCAGACAAGAAAAAACAGGATAAGCAATGTGGGTCTGAGCCATGCTGTGTAGACAAGCTGGGACAGAGACTCGAGGCAAGATCATCGAATGTCACGGGCTTCTCTGAGCAGCCATGCCCAGTTCCAGGTCAGCCTCAGGGGCATCTGCTTCTGAAACTTTGCTTTCAGTGATCGAATATGAGTTACACAGTGTGTGTGTGTGTGTGTGTTTGTGTGTTTGTGTGTGTGTGTGTGTGTGTGTGTGTGTGTGTGTGTGCGGGGTTCAGTGGCAGAGAAAGATATGCTATAGTAGAGAAGCAGTTGGGGAGATATTTCTGTCAGGAGGGCTGCAGTCCAACCAGACCTGTGGCCAGTTCTACTCAAAGGAATGGCAGGGAAAAGAGTCCCTCCCCTCCCCTCTCACTGTTTTTGTCTTAGCACCTCTGTGCCAACTTGGAAAATGGTGGCCATTCTCTCCAGTCGGTAGTCCCTCCCCAGAAAGAAAAGGGTGGAAGCTGCCCTGTACCTGTCTCAGAGTGGCAGCAAGCCGTCCTTCCCTTCAGGAGGGCACTGGGCTTCTCGTGTCTGCAGACGAGGGCACGGCACCACTCACAGTGTTTGCGGAGCTGACAGCAGCTGGGGACAGAAGGAACAGGCTGAGCGGCACCTGCCTGTCAGGAGAGCCCAGCTGGTAGCCCTGGGTACCCATTCAGGTTTGCAGAGCATCAGTCACCTCAGGACACTGAGGACCTGGACAGATCCTGACCAGCCACAAAATACCTGCTGGCTGTCAGCACGATTGCTATAGATAGCTCTGCTCTAGCTTCCCCAGGTCACCGGGCTCCAGATTCCCTGGCTGGCTGAGGGGACAGATCAGTCACATAGCTGCCTGCTGTCTCTATAAAGGGGCAGCTGAGAGGCTCTGCCAGTGTAATAATGGCCTTACAACAGACACAAGGGCTAGGACAGCAGACCCTGGGGCCAGAGGCCATGATGCTTCAGGAGGTGGCCCTTCATCCAGGAGTGTCACTAGGCTTATGCCTCAGTTGTCCCAACAGAAGCAACTTACCAGAAAAGTGCCTTTTATTGCCCTGTGTGCAAACTGGTCAGCTTTGAAGGATAAAAGCCTGGTGTTGCCTTCATACCCAGACCCACTGAAATAGCCTTAGTGTGGTCTGCAGTCCCAGTCTTGAGTGAACTGTGCTCCCAGGCTGCCTTTAACTGAGTGTGCCCTGTGCCGATTCAAACTAGGGAAAATCTTCTGAGCCCCTTGACTTAGACTTAACCATCCCGTGGAGTAAGTCTGGCTTGGTGTCTGCTGCAGAGAATACAGCATTGTATTTCCAGGAGCTCTGGTTGCACTGGCTAGGCCAGTGGGCAGCTACGGGCAAGGTAACAGAATAAGGTACTCCTGTAGTCTCCCTTGACCTGGGGCTCAGCTCAGCTTCCTGGAGGATGTGATTCGGAGGATGAGCGGGTGGTGGAGGAGAGAGAAGAAGGGCAGTGTGGGGTGATGACAGCATTGAGCCTCTGCTGTAACTTTAGAGCTTGTCAAGTGTTTTCTGCATGGAGGAAACACTTTTGCAGTGGTCCAAGGGGGCTGGGTGCTGTTTCTAGCTCTCTTTGGAGCACCTGCCCAGATAATAAGTTTTCAGGAGGTTCTGGGTTCGAGGGCAGTGATGAGACATGCCTTTGATTTGACATGCCTTCTACAAGAGCTCAGAACCACTGCTAGCAACCACGCCATGCTCCAGGCAGTCACGTGGCTTGCTTGACGCTATGTGGTGAGACATTAACTGTCCTCGCAGCTCAGCTGATACCACTCTCATGTCTCAACGGCAAGCTGATGGCTATTTTGTGTGGCCATACTTCAGATGTCCTGGCAGAGCAGGTGGGTGGGGGACACAAACTTGGGGATGACAGATACTCACTGGATCAGAACGCAGGTGACAATGAGGACAGCCAGGGCCACAATGGAGACCACCACCAGGGCGGTGATGGCCTGCTTCTTCTGGCTGGCAGCCACCACTGCCAAGAGGTCTGCATGCTCACAGCGAACACCCACGTACCCAGAGTGGCAGCTGAGGGAGAAAGGAATGTTAGCCTGCTCCTGACCGAGGACATTGGACAAGCCCCAGAGAGTACAGGCGTCCTTTGTGATTGGAGACACAGGTGTGGGGCAGTGTGTCCACCTTCCTGCCAAGGTGCTGCTTGCTGAGGGGAGGGCAAACTGATCCCTTGCTTTACCAAGGGTACACTTGTGATCACTGATTTTATGCTAACCCTTGAGTGCTAATGGCAGCATTGATGACAAAAAACCCTCCATTTTGATAGGTGATGAAACTCCTGGTTATCATTACTCTGTGTGTGGCATGTTCATGTGTCTGTGTGTGAGATGTTCACGTGTGTGTGTGTGTGTGTGTGTTGGTATAGGTGCATGGGTGTATGCACATCTGTGAAGGCCAGAAGTCAATGTTGAGTGTCTTTCTGTGTCACCCTCTGCCTTATTTTGGAAACAATGTTTCTTGCTGTGTCTGGAGTTTAACTAAATGGCGAGGCTGGCTGGCCACCAAGCCCCAAGGATCCTTCTGCCTCCTCAGTCATGGGGTTATATAGATTGCTACCCAGGGGGGATTCCACCCTCTCAGAGGAGAAGGGGAGGGGCAGTGGAGGAGGGACCAGGTGAAGGGAGGACCAGGAGGAAGGGAGACAGTAATTGGATGGAAAGTGAATAAATAAATTAATTAATGGAAAAAAGAGGGGCTCTAAAGAACAAAGAACACAGAAAAGATCTTGGGCTTAAAGGCCCTACTGGGCACCTGTCACTGGCCAGGCTGCTCCACAGACATTCCAGGTGGGATCCCTGAGTCCACTCAGCTCCCACAAAGGCTCACGGAGCTACAGGATAAACAAGGTATGTTTTCTCAGATCATGGCTTTTGTTCCGGGCTAAACATCAGCATTGGATGTTGAAGGGACAGGTGGTGCAGGGGTCCAAGGTGGCAACCAGAAGATGCTGACCACTTCTATAGGAGCTCTCAGTGCAAGGACACACAGCCTTCCTGGACTCATTCAGAGGTGGCTTTTAGTTGAAACTCAGGTACCTGAGTTTTATTGTTGTTTTGTTTTTGAGACAGGGTCTGGCTATGTATATGTAGCCTTGGCTAGCTCAAACTCATGATCCTCCTGCCTCAGCTTCCGAATGTCCAGAAGACAGCAGTGTACCACCAAGCTTGGCTACTTGTTCTTTGGTAGGGGTTCTTTTATGCTTCGTGTGTTCTTTCATTTAATCTTGTCATGAAAAAGTCAAGTCACCTGCTGTCCCTACACCTGCTTCCCTGGGGACTTGAAGGACATTTGTACCGAGTCCACAACTGGGATCCGGCTCCCTCCCCTTTGCCAGGCTGATATGCTTATTATGGTTTAGTCTCTTATCTTGAGAGACTGGAAAAGATGAGAGTTAAAAGTTGTTCGTGGTGTAAAGGGCTTGTGTCCTTGGGAAATAAGAAAGCCAGGCTGGGATAACAGGGAAATAAGAGAATGCCTGACAGTCAGGCTGTCTATACCGACTCTCCAGGCTCAGTGCAGTGGGGTGCAGACAGGTTCTGTCTAACTAAACAAACAAACCCGAGGGGAGGTAGAAAGGAAACCAACTCACTGGATAGACACCAGCCTTTCCCCTGGGGGCAGATGGGGAACTGCAAGAGTGGGACAGAACCCAGTGCAGGTTGGGATCAGCTGTTGGCTTGGGCCACACAGGGTCTGACAACTGAGATAGATTCCCCCAGCCCATCCCAGATGCCCCTACCTTCCAGAGGTCATGGAGTTAGAGGTATCTTTTTTGTGATATTTGATATCTCTTCCATTCAGGGTCTTAACCTACTCCCCTAATATCCTGCCAGTTCGAGGAGTCCACATGGTCTCTACTAGCCCCGGGGCAGGTGTATGCACGGGTGGCCACACATGGGTGCTTGGACATCTCAAGTCCGACATCTTTCACCTGGAACACAATCCCCCACTCTCCCAACACTGTGCCCACAGACCACATTCTCCAAAAACTACATGCTTTCTGCATTCACCCACACACCAGCCTGTCCACTCTCCCACGGCCCGCTCACCAAGCGCCTCCCAGACCCTGTCCATCATTGAGCACCTGCAGCTCCACCTGTGCCTACCCTCTCTCCTCAGCCTCCATGCTCCTGGGGACTGGCCTTGACCTACAAAATGCTCTGCTTCTCAGCAGTTCCTCATGAGTGGGACGAAGACAAGAAGTGACATCTTGTCTTCTCTTTAATTCCCAATCTTCTAATATTAGACTTAATTATGCTGATTATTTTAAGCACAAGTCACACAAGGAGGGAGGAGTGTCACCTCACCTGGCTACAGATGAGTCACACCCTCACTCTGATGCCGATTCTACCCCTGGCAGGCAGATAAAAGGGAAATGTATGTGTGCATGTATGCATGTGTGTGTGCATGTATACATGAGTAAAATTCATTACATAAATGTAAGAAACTGCAAAAAAACAGTTTTAAAAAAGAAACACACAGTAAAAAAAAAAATTGAATAAAAAAAGAAACCCAAACCAACAATCTCAGGTTCTGCTGGAATAAAGATGTAGCTCAGAGCAACAGTGTTTGCCTGGCATGCACAAAGCCCCAGGTTTGATTCCCAGCAACACACTAGACAAGCAGAAAGCAAAAATCCTCTGTAAATCCACTTTAAAATGGAGTACATTGATTTCTGCATCTTAGTTTCACCAAACTTTTTCCATCCAGATGGTTCCCAGTGCAATATGTTAACCAAGGCTGGACATTATCTCTGTACTCAATGATACTTTGTTTGTATTTCAGATTATGTCCTCAGGACAGGAGCTCAGAGGGATACAACTTGGCACAGGCTCTGTAGGCAGATTGGCCTGTGTTCAAAGCCCTTTCTTCACTTCCTGTCTCTGTAACTTTGAGCCAGTAACTGCTCTTTACCGCATACTCTGCATCTTGAAAACGCAGTGCAAGTGAGAACCACTTCACAGTCAAGATCGCTAAAGGAGCCTTGTGGTTAGTGTGCTCAACACAAAGGCAGGCTACGCCTCTGTTAGATAGAAGTTAGGGAGCAGGGGATGGGTTGGGGGGATGGCTCCGTTGGAAGGGCTTGGCTTGCAGTGCAAGGATCTGAGGTCCAGGGCCAGAGGTGAAACTGTTTCTGATCACATTTTGTATCAGCTTGTGCTTAACTGTTTCTGATCACATTTTGTATCAGCTTGTGCTTAACTCGCATCATCCCCGAGGGGCTGGGCTGGGAGCAGACTCCCTGGACCAGTGGAAGGAGAATGGAGCTCACCTGAATCAAGAACTGGATTCAGGGCTGGGTGTGGTTCAGTCAGTGGCAAAGAGCACTTGTTTAGCCCTGGGTTCCATTCCCAGCTCTGAAATAACAAAAAGACCTGGATCCACCCCATCCTACTATCTTTCCCATGGGGCTGGGAGGCCAGGGCTCCTTCATTAGCTCAGAGAGAGGGCCTCTTGGGACATCTTCTAGAATTTTTCAGTGATGATGACAGAACTCACCCTCCTGCCACCTCCTGGTGTTCAGAGCTTAAAATGCAGGTTGGGGACCTGAAAACTAAACCCTACTTAATTAAATCAACGAATGTGGATCATTGCACGTGTCCAGAGGCACAGCAGCAATCCCTTCAGAGTCCTCTCTGTGCTCCCTTGATGTCCTGGTTCCTTCAGCTGCACACAGGGAAACTGAGGTTGAATGGGGCCAGGTCACATGTATGGGACACTCAGCTGGATTTAAACTCAGGTCTGTCTGATTCCCAGATCCAAAGAGACCCTCACTGTCTGCTTTGGGTGGAAGTGGGGCAGGACAAAACCAAGGTATAATTCTCTCTAGTCCTGCCACGGGGTAATGTCACGCTGCACCCCTGCTGGTATGATATCATACTGCCTTGCTCCCCCACTGGTGTTCAGAGGCTGATGGAGATGCCTGTGGGGGTTCCTATGCCAAGAGCAAACCCCCCCTCTGAATCTGATCTCTGTGGCTGTAGGGCTGCCTGTGCTGGAATGACGCTCATGGTTTACTCTCTCTAGGTGTCTGGCTGTTCAGACTCACTGGCATGCATTGTGGCCAGCTCTCTAGCCAGGGCATGGGAGAATATTTTCTTTGAGTGACAGAGATGTGTTTCTCTGGGGTTGCTGGCAGGGTCTTTAGTCACCAGGAACATTCAGGACAGGTGGGAAACTTTAAACAGTCTCTTGTGGTTCCTCACACTGTTCACCTAAGTGGATTCTGCCTCCTTCTGTCAGCAGACGACCACCTGCCCATGCCACCTTGGTACAAGGGTGGCCCCTGACCTTACATCTCCATAGTTTTCTGTTTCCTGCATGTCTTCCTGCCATGGTGTTGGACTGCAGTGAGATTTCTACAATGTTCAGATGAACAACCTTGGGCTTGTCTGAAACAAGTACATTTGAGGATCATTTTGGAGCTGTCTGACTAGTGGTGATTTTTTTTATTCCCTAGTTTTAGAGTATGAAATGTTGCTTTAGATTTTCTGGAACCCTAATGCCTTTATTCTTCTTGGAGAGTGTGCTCAGAAGCAGTGCCTGCCTCTGCACTACAGTCTCAGCTTGCTGGGGTTTCTTTACGAGCCCCTGACAGATGGGGCCCTACCTCAGGTATGTCAGTTTTATTGACCAGAATGTTGTATGTGTCAGCTCCTCCAAGCTGGGAAGTTCTTAAGAGCGGGGACAGAATGTTCTGGCTTTCCCTGCAGAGACTCGGAGTTTCTGGTCTGGTGGGAATTTGGTAGCTAGAACATTCTTCTGGTTACTATAAATATAAAGGTGTAAGGTGTGGTCCTGTCTCCCAGAGCTGATGCATCAGAAGGGGTAGAGAAGCAAACCTTACCAGGTCTCCAGGCCAGACAACATGCCTTGTTACGAGACACTGGCTCTGTGCCTCAAGAGTGCTGTGCAGAGGAGAGGGCCTACTCACAGCCACCACAGTCTATGATATTAAAAGGGCCCTCTGAGGACTAAGGGCCACTCACAACACTCGGGGGTCATAAGCAAGTAGCAATGGCAGTAGGTGATGGACACTAACATTCTGCTTTGGTGTCAGGCTATGCTGGGAGCAAGTGGGGACCAGAGATCTAGAGAGTACAGCCCTGTCTGGGTAGTATGTAGGTATACCCATGGGGGGGGGGTCAAGCCAACACTATGTCATCTGTTGAGTCAAGAGAAGCTGAGCACCTGTTGGGAAGTGTGAAGCCCAACTTCCAAGATGCACACAAGGACTTAGGGTCACCAGAGAAGAACACACAGTGTCACTTGTCACATTAACAGGCCCAAAGGTTAAATACTGCCCCTGGGCCACCAAGATCCAGCAGGGAAACTGAGAGAAGAAGGTGCTTGCTGTTTCCCATGGCCTCTGCTCTCCCAGGTTGGCACTGTCCTATTCTCAGCCCTTGGCCCCACAGAAGGCTAGTGAAGAGTCAGTACAATTGGTCCTGACCTCTCTCTAGGAGAGGCTTCACCTGGCAGAGTAAAATGCCCAAGCTATGCTTGGAAACAGGGAGCTTGACATCTTGAGGTGACTTTTGTGACAGATCCATTTTTGTTCATCTTGTCACAGTCACAACAGACAGTGAACATCTGCAAATATCTATGAACTTCCATGGCTCCCACTGTCCAGAGGATAAAGGCTCCCTCTCAGTGGACCCTGCTCTCCAATTCTTCCATCTTCTGCCTACCTGCTGTGGGTTCTGACCTTCAGCAGCCCTTTGGCACCTGGAACTGGACATCTTTCTGCTTGTCCTCTGGGTCAGACCCACATCTGCTGGGTGGCTTTCCTCCAGGGCCTTTCTTCCCTAACTCCACTGACCACAGCGATTACCACTGGCTCTTTTTTTAATTTATGTGTGGATGTGTGTGCACCCAACTGTGTGTTCATGTGTGCATGTGCCCAGACACACATGTTTGACACACATGTGGAGGTCATAGGGTAACCTTGAGTGTTGGTCTTTGCTTCTAGCTTGTTTGAGACAGGTCTTTGTTTGTTGTTGCATACATCAGACTAGCTGGACACTGAGCTTCTGGCAATTCTCCTGTCTCTGACCCCATCTTCTGGTAGAGGTGCACTGGGAATACAGACATGTCCCTTACTGCATTGGCTATTTATGTGGGAATCTCAACTCAGGTCATCAGGCTTGTGTGGCTAGTGCCTTACTCTCTGAACCATCTCCCCAGCCCCTATTGTTGGCTCGTGTGTCGTGTGTTAGGGAGGTTCAGTGCCTGCATGGCACTTGGCTGTGCTTTGTGAGGCACCAGAGAGTTGAGAGCCACCACAGTGTGACGTGAGTACTGGCCCTCTGCATGCCTTTCCAGCTATTTTGCAGGCTGGATACAAAGTGCTGGGTTCATGGAAACTTCATTATAGAGGTTCAGGTACCCAGGTCAATGTTTTCCTCCAGGAACTCTAAGTAGACAACTAAACTCTAGTCAGTTTGCTGTTTAAAAACGGATCCCAGCTCCAGCATCCTGGGACTCCCTTGCACCCTGGACATCTAGTTGGCCGTTCTCATCCTTCAGCCTGCTCAGCCCTCTGGGTCTCAGATCGATAGCCAGCCACATAGAAGCAAACACTCTTTTAATTGGGTGCCTGACCACCCTTCCCTTCCCCCAAGACCAGGGGATACTTACACACACGCTGGCTTCTCTTCCTGCACCAAAAACCTGCAGGTTCCATGGAAGCAGTACTGAGTGTGGGAATCTGGGCACTTGTTGAAGTGAGACACCACTGCAGCCGCCACTGGTGAGTCTGCTGGGGCAAAGAGACATCATCAGACCTGGCACAGCTCACACCCAGGAGGAACTTCTGCTCTCACCTGATGCCTTCTGCAAAACTCACTTCCTAATGCCCAGCCAGGGCTCAGAGTCTGCATTAAGCAGTCTGGGTATTTTTCTAAGATAACAAAAAATAATTTCTCCAAAGGTTTTGGTATAATTCAAAGATAGCCAGTTAGATTCATTTGCAAAATGGCACACACCTGAACTCCTAGCACTCAGACGGTAAAGGCAGAAGGATCATGAGTTCAAGGCCAACCTAACCCATATGTGGATCCCTTATCTCCAAGCCCAAGAAAGGGGCCAAAGAACAGCTCAGAGGGTGAAGTGCTCGCTGTGCAAAGATGAGGCTGAGTTTGGGCTCCAGGACCCACATAAAAAGACTTTACAGTAAGGACTGCAACTCCAGCATTGTAGTCCCTGGGGGATCACTATACTGCTGAAGGCAGGGCTCTATGCCTTATAACAGAATAAACAAAGATGCTCAGTAGAGAAATATACTGACGCACATGCAGGATGGACTCAGCGTTCCTGCTTCTGCGTTCAGAGTCTTTGAAGGAGTCATTGTAAGCAAAGGCAGATAACATCCTCAATAACATCCCAGAGATCCCTGCCAGGGCCCCCCCTCCTGTGTTATCTCCCGGCCCCAAAACTGGGGTCTACACCATGAAGAAACTCCACATGACACTCAAAGGTTTGTCCCTCTGTCCTTGGAGCACAGGGTGAGAGTGAAAAGCCTGCTACTTCTGCTTCTCTGGTTTTTGAGCCTCATGTAGTCCAGGCTGGTCCAAAATTCACTGTGTAGCCCAGACTAGTCTTGAACTCTTGATCTTCCTGCCTCCACCTCCAAAGTGCTGTGGTTATAGGAGTGTGACACTACCCCTGGTTTATTCAGTACTGGGATTGAAACCAGGCCAGCACTCTCTACAACTTGGCCTCATGCCAGTCCACTTCTGGTCCTTCATACAGCCAACTATCTGCCTGCTACCTACAATGCATAATTCCAGTCCTTCCTGATGCCCTTCTTTAGACTAAAAAGGTCTCAGAAAGGATGAATGAAGATCGATGACAGTACATGCTACAATAACCAAATGATAGTTTTTTTTAAAAAACCCTTTGCTTTAATTACAGTGATACATTTACTTTTGAATACCAGAAACAACAGAGATTTCTGAATTTAAAAAGTACTTTACTGAAACTATTGATATATAATAAAAACCACCTTAGAGAATAAAGGGCATCTTAATCCTCAACTCGTCGAGAGTCATAAAAACAGCATACACCGACATACTTATGCACCTACATTCCTGTTCTAAAAATCAAGGGTGAATCAGATTGTAACTAGGAAACTGCCCTTGTCTGGGACCCATAAAAGTGTTTGTGACCACCTAGGGCACCTTAGGGTACACTCAGACCCATATACGAGCTCATTCTTACTGACGTTCAAGGCTGGAGGGCTGGAGAGGGCTCTGCTGTGTGCCAGGTACTTTCCTTAACTGTGTCAAGGCAGGGCAGGCAACTTACCAAAGACAGGCTTTGCCCAGGTACCGTCTCCTCATTGGGTAGGGGGCAACATGGCTTCTAGTTTATCAAAGTAAATTTATGAGGAGACTCCAAGTTCCTGACATCCTCCCCCAAGATTAAGTCTCTCAACTTCTTTTTCTCTTTTTATTCTTTTAAACTGAAAGATGTGTGTATGTGTGTGTGTATGTATGTGTGTGTATGTGTGTGTGTGTTTGTGTAAGTGCTCTTTCTCCAGCTCTTTCTTCTTGCTTAAAGGTGTCATTAGGTAGCCCAGGCTGGCCCCAAATTCATATCAATTATCCTACTTTAGCTGAGGGCTAGAATTACAGGTGTGTACCATCACGCTTGTCCCCTCTTTCCCTTGCCCCTCCCTCCTCTTTCTAAAAACACAATAAAATATCAAGAGACATAAGGAAAGCTTAAGGAAATATAGCCAGGTAGAAAAGGTGGGTGAAGGGTAGGATACTGGGCAACAGCTAAACAAGGGCTGGCCCTTGGAGGGCAGGCCAGGCCCAGGCCCCTGGCCAGGGCCATCTCGTACAGGCACCATGTCTGATTAGCTGAGGGGCTGATAGGAAAAGCAAATGTTCTGCTTAGAGAGTAGCCTAGCACCAGGCACTTGCAAGCAGCTGGTGTTTCAAAACTGCTCAGTTCCTGTTGTTGTAGAATTGATGAGAGGCCCCTCCATCCTGGAGACCTGACACCCATCCTGTGGACATCACTGCTCTCTGGAGAAACTATGAAGGCGAGACCACAGGCCCACTAATAGGTCCCAGAGCCCAGCCCAGCTCACAGAAAGAGTCTGGAATGGCAATCAGGGGATGAGGAAATCCCTGCTTCAATCCACAGGGGGGTCAGAAGTCTGGGCAGACACCATCTGCAGGGGCTTTGGGAGCTGAGGTAGGGGAGCTCCAGGGTTGCAGCAGCCACACCCTTGAGCAGTCTTGAGGAGGAGCCCTAATTGGCCTGTATGTCTAGCTAGTTGATGGGGGCCTAGGAGACTGTGACTCTTCACTCTTCCCCAGATGTCGTGTTTGCCAGTTGTAAAGCTGACGTCATTTATAGCCCTTCCATCACTTCCGCAAGTAGCCCAAGTAACTTTCCAACAGTTTCAACATGACATCTAGCAAGATTTTCCAGCCAAGGGTAGCAGTTCAGAGGCAACAATGGCAGAGCTGACTACAGCCAGGGAAAAGCAGACACTAGAAGAGCACCCCCTTTAGGGCTAGACAAGTATTTCACTATGAGGCCAATCTGGAGGCCCTATGGTTGAGGGAAGCTGTAGTCAGGGCAGCAGGCCTGGCTATAGGGCTGGGAGGGGATTCATCTGACTCCACACATGTGCTCATGTGCTATGGTACCCACTCCCCATACACTGCCACATAATAGATAGTAACTGATGATAAACAGATGGATAGATAGATGATAGATAGATAGATAGATGATAGATAGATAGATAGATAGATAGATAGATAAGCAACCAACCAATCAAACCAACAAATAAGTAAATGTAAAACGTAAATGTGCTTCCCATGACAGGATCCCAGAACATAGATGTTCTAGACCTTTCAGCAGTCTTTTCCTGTCCGGGCTGGTTTCCACCCTGCTTGGTTTTGTCATTTCCCCTGTAAACTGACTTCGGGGCGCCCACCAGGCCCTATCCCCTCATTTACGAGAAAGGGTTCTTCGTTATTTTGTCGAACCTACACTGCTGTGTAGCCTGATTAGTCTTTCAGATCCAGGAACTAGATATGCAGACAGCATGTGGCTAGAAGGTGCTAGAACTAAATGCATAGCTTGTTCGTCTCTGACTTTGAGCAGATGAAGAGCTGTAGGAAGTGAGGGTGCCGCCTAAGTCTGAGATGGGAAAAGCTGGGAGGCACATGGTGGAAGTCATCACGTCCTCACCAGCATCGGGGAAGGGAACGCTTAATAGAAGCAGCTCCTAGCAGAGGGACATTTTTAGGAGGAACAAGAGGAAACTCTGCCCTTTGAAAGTGGAGGAAACTGAGTATGACAACTTTTCACTCCTATAGAGGAGCACCACAGGGGAGCACTGGCCAGAACCACACACAGATGCAAAGGAGATTTTTAGACACTCGAGCAAAGGTCCACTGAGGAGTAGCTGGGATGGACTGGGGACCCTGCCTGCCACTATGCCCCTGTGCAGCATGGCACTCACACCTAGGAAACCTGGGAGTTTCTGGTTCAGGGCAAGGCTCAGGTAGAGCTGGAATGGTTTCTTTCTGTAACTTGAAATAAGTCCCCGGGGGCCACACAGGGTGCATAGAGGCCAGATTGATTCTCCTGCTCATTTCTTGCTCCAGACAACAACCAAGAGATATGACTGAACCAAATTTAAAGATCAGAACCACCTTCTACCTTCCTACAGAGACACTGACTACTGACAGCCCACAGTCGGTGTAAGGAAATCACTCAGGGGTTCAGCACCATCACTATCACTGGGAGTCTACACCCCAAGGGGCTCCCCTGCTGTGCCCACTTTAAAGTCAAAGGCAGAGTCAGCATCAAGTTTGAAGCTTCTTTCTCTCTCAAGAAGAAAATCTGAGTGTAGACATGGCCTGCCAGGACCCTTCTGCAGCCGAGGGAGCTGAGCTTACAGTTTTAATCCAGTTGGATTTTCTGAGGCAGGACTATGATGGCGATAGCTAACATTGTTACCATCAGCCATTGACTGTTTGCCGGCATCGCACTTGGCATGATTGGAGGCCACTGCTACTCTGTCTGCCGATGGAAGGAACTTAAGCAGAGGGCGGTGACAATGGCTCAATGCTCCTCACTCAGTAAATGGCAGAGCTGAAACCTGAAATTACAGGAGGTCTTCTGGCTCTTCTTCCGATACCTGACCGACCACTTCAGGGTGTGGCCATGTGAAGAGAGGGGCAGGAAATCTCTGATGGGTACTGTCACACCCAGATGACTCATTTGGAGATAAACAAGTCTGGGATTACTAAAACATTTCAGGAGCATTTTAGGATGAAAGGGCAGAGAGTCCCAAGGAAAATGGCTTAAATTGGCAAAGAAAATTTAGGAGCCTAAAATGTCTGTGAGTTAATTTGAAGTTTGGGATGGAATTGGCTTCTGTGTGTCCCACTAGGTGTTACAACATGTAGATTTCAAGAGTTGCCTATCTGCACCTGACTATTGCTGGGGACCCTACTTCCCTCGGAGCAGGGGAGGCCAGCCCCCTTCTCCCCTGCATTCTATATTATGGACTCCAGGGATGGAAGGGGGCAGATGGCTCCCTTCCCACAGCTGCTATTGCTATTGAGACCCTGGGCTCAGCCTACAGGTTATTCTTTTTGTCTATACCAAAGCCTTGGTAATTTTAAGGAAAAAAAAAACAGGCTATGGTTTTGCTTTGAAGACAGATGCCAAATGTCCCCCACCCCAGCATTTTAATCATTTGATCTCAAACAGAAGGACCGT